GTTAAATATATCCTACTGTGTTTTTTCTTAATTTTATGAATAATTTTGGCAGTGGGTGCCCTTTTTGGCTTGAGCACCTGCCTCCAAAAATGTCTGTGGATCTGCCTGCCAATTAGTCAAGTCCCAACCTTACCTGGAAGTTATAGCGCTGACCATCAAATGTCAAGTAGTGGGGGTCACCAACCGCACGGCAAGTTGCTGTAGAAACATGGACACATGCACCATTCACACAACGTTCCTTTTCTCGACATTTCACTTCTTCACAGGGATCCTTGGGCGGTGGAGGTGGAGGGGCACCTACAGGAAATACAGACACATGCTATTCATATGAATACATGGTGGATACATTCCATTGTGTCATGATTAACTGTATTACTTTAGTTGTCACTTGAAGGTACAGTGTGTAGAATTTTGTGATATCTAGTGTTGAAATCGCATGTTGCAGCTAAACACCCCTCACCTCACCCTCTCCTTCCAAACATGAAAAAGTAACTGTGCTAGCCTTTAATTGTCATAAAAACTCAAAAGGCGTTTAGTTTGTCCAGTCTGGACTAATGTAAAAAACATGGCGGCCTCCGTAGAGAGATCCCCTCAATGTAAATATAAAGTATTTGAATATAAAGGGCCTTTTCTGGGGTAAAGAAAACTATATTTCATACAATTTAGATGAAACGAACTAGTGAAAACATCACGAGGATTATTCTACATTAAATGTCTGCCAATAGTTTTCTTTCACCTAAATCCTACACACTAGACCTTTAATATACACTATATGGACAAAAATATTGGGACACACCTCTTTATCATCAAATGCAGGTGCTTCATTCAATTCCATTGCAATTGGTTGGACTATAAGTACCTTAGTTCCATGAAGGTAAATCTTAATGCTTCGGCTTACCAAGACATTTTGGACAATTCTATGCTTCGAACTATGTGGGAACAGTTTGGGGAAGACCCTTTTCTGTTCCCGCATGACTCTGCTCCAGTGCACAAAGCAAGGTCCATAAAGGCCTGGTTGTGGAGTTTGGTGTGGAAGAACTGAACTGGCCTGCACAGAGTACTACTGAACATCTTTGGGAGGAACTAGAATGGAGATTGCGAGCCTGGCCCTCTTGTCCAATATCAGTGTCTGACCTCACAAATGCTCTTCTGGATGAATCGGCAACAATTCTGATAGACACACTCAAGTCTTGTAGAGTATGGAAGCTGTTATAGCAGCAAAGGGGGACCAACTCAATATTAATACCTGTGGATTTAGAATGGGATATAATAAAAGTTATAAACTTGTGTCCATATAGTGTACCTCTAAACAGTTTTCTGTAAATAATTAAAAATTGTTGCATTGACATCTGGATATACTGTTGCTGAATGCGTGTGTGTGTGTACAGGCTTTTAGTTCACTTGTGTGTGTACCTTCAGAACAAATTCCAGCAGTTCCATATGAATGCCCGGCTTTCCCACCATAGACGTACACTGCCATCTGGGCGTCACCTTCCACTGTAACATGATTCTGCTTAGACCCCACAAATACTCTAAACCACACCCAGTCCTTATTGAATAGCTTTTTGAAGCCAAACCACTTGGGTGAGAAACACTTTCCCCGCACACACACTTTCACACTGCCTGCACCCTCCCTCTCTGAAACAATAGCGACAGTACTTGGAAGTCCACTGATAGTCTCCACTGCCCAATCAGTGGCAAGCCTGTGCGTTGGGATCAGTCTTATTAGGAAAGGGTCATGTGGGTAATTGTTGCTGAGATGCAGCACCATTACTTTCTTGTCGCTCTTTACAGCCATTGGTTGATTGCCGTTAAATTTGTGATAGGTTTGGTCCCCAGCCTTCCTTAGCTTCCTGTTGGCGTAATTAGAATATATTTACTTGGTTAGATACAGTACAGGTACTTCAGAAAAAAATATTTTCATTGTTACATTTATAGGAATAGTCACACAATTATATGGCAATAATATTTTTTTACATGGTTTTAAAGTATGGCAAGTCTGTGTTTGGCCCACATCTATGGCTAACTTGTGGCCCAGATCTGGCCAACAGGTACAGACTGTCCAAGTGCCATCATTCGATGTGTGCCGAATGAGGGTTGTGTGGGATGTGGGCCAAATCTGGGCCAAAACAATTTTGCCTCCCCTATTCAATGATTCTGTTGGAGGTTTCTTGCGTCTTGACATTGGTTGCCACCCGCCATTAAACCAAACAAAAAAGAAGAAGAATATGTTTCTTCGTTTATGGGGAGTGTTTTCTCTCCATTCATCAAGTGCCTGTTGTGGGAACTGTTGGCTTTCTCTATCATATTGTAAGGTCTCAAACTTACTATGTTAAGTGCCTTGAGATAACATATGCTGTGAATTGACGCTATACAAATTAAACTGAATCGAGTTGATCAATTTTGAGCATTTGATAGTTACCCTGTCTTCTCGAAATTAAGTGTATACACAAGAAATTTACCAGAGCAAGGAAACATTTGACCAGTTTAGATTGTCTAGCAGCATATTTGTAAAGCCACGGAATACATCAGTAACATGTCTACTGACAATATATGTACTTTTTAGTCCATTATTTCATCTTCTAACACTAAATCTGTGTGATGTGTCTGCATTATTATTGTTTTTTGGTTATGTTGAGGCACTTTTAGCACCTGGTTAAGGTTCGGTAAAAGTGTATAGATGGCATGATTTCAGATAATGAATGCTTATTGACATGACATTTCACTGTAACACTAACCAAATTGTTTTTTGTTGACCTTAAAGTAAACAAGACTCAGTATGAACCCTGGACTCTGCGATGAGTAGTGAGTAGAGGTCAACAATTTACACTATAGCAGTTTCGACCAACTCATTAAAGGTCACTCTATCTATAGTTTCCACACATTGAAAATATGTCTGAATAAGAGCAATAAATAATGTCAAAACAGTTTGGTATATATCTGGAAGAAAATACTACAATGACTGACAGAGCTCAATGCACCACATCTAAAGAAAACACATGTTAAACCAATTCAGCATTTAGACAACACGGAATTTAAAAGACATGCTTGTTCTCTGCTCTGCAACAAGAACTCAGGTTTCAGATGGACATTTTTGCGAGTCAAGTAGTTAAGATGTTTTCTTCGTTTGAATTTTTTTCTTCCTCTAGCTGCAGCATGTTGAGCTCTCTTAACCTCGTAGAAAACTTTTATAACTTTTATAAATTTTATTGAACTTAACTGTTTGAAGGAGTAATGGCCTCTTTGTATTGTCACCTCAGTGTTGTCTTCAGCAGCTACTACTACTGCCCAGTTTAAGGCCCGATGGCTGCTCATGGGTACAACATATTCTTTCCCCAGGCTTGCCACTGGAGGGAGCTGTTCATACACATGATCACACCCACGACCCATATACAGACACTGGTGGCCTGCTAAGACGGCCACAGGATGCTTGGATCGAATCTGTGTGCCGCTCAAACTTGCACGACTGAGCACAAGGTAGGATGCAAATGGTTCCAGGGTAATGGTCACTACCCTGTCATGCGACCATCTAGTCCCTCCCATGAGGATCACATTGGCACCAGGTGTGATAGTGATCTGGTTGCGGCTATCGCCATTCACAATAGCTAATTGCTTGTTCATGCTTGGCGGGCCCCCTTCTGGTGTGAAGACAAAGTAGTTAGTGCCCAATTCTTCTTTTGGAAAAACCACTGTGCTGTCTCCTGTGGCGTAGCGATGATTGAAAGAGACCACAGAGATTTCAGCACTAGATGAGATTCGAACAGCAGACTTTGCATTAATAAACAGCTTCTGCAACTCAGATCCAGTTGGCAGAGAAATCCAAACGCTTGTGCGTGCAGAGAGTGTAAGCTGCCTGGAGAAACCCACTGAGGCCACCTGCAGAGCAATACAGACAAATCTTTTAAATGTTTATTAGCTATAAACTGGACACTTCTTGGAAATGCCAAATGAGACAAATACAACTGTACTAACACTGGAAGTGAACTCAGAGAACGCATACCTCCGTCAAGGCCCCTTTATTGTCACAATGCACATAGATGTATTAAGACCAGATACATCCAAATCAATTTATGGATCCACACATGTTCATGAACATTAGCACTCTACACGCATTTTTCATAACGACCTCATAAATCATTTCTTGAGAAATTCACAAAAATGTGAACCCCCCAATAT